CTCATAAAAAAAATTATATTCAACGTTTTATTTCGAAAATCGAACCAAAGTCAGTAAAGGTTGCAATGGAAGATCCTGATTGGATTGTTTCTATGGAATATGAATTGGTTGAGTTGGAAGAAATAAAGTTTGGAGGCTTGTTCTGAAACCACAAGATGTATCTGTTATTGTCTTAAAGTGGATTTTCAAAAATGAAACTGATAAAGAAGGAAACATAGTGCAAAATAAAGCTAGGCTAGTTGTTAAAGGTTATTCGCAACAAGAAAGTATAGATTATGAAGAAACCTTTGCCCCTGTCGCAAGACTCAAGGCTATTCGAATCTTTTTAGCCTATGCAACACACAAGGACTTTGATTTTTATCAAATGGTTGTTAACTGTGTATTTCTCAATAGTGTTTTAGAAGAAATAGTGTATGTTGAACAACTACCAGGTTTTGTAAGTACACAATACCTCAATCATTGCTATGTGTTAGATAGGGCTATTTATGGTCTCAAATAAGCACCAAGAGCGTAATATGCCACTCTTACTAATTTTTTTAAAATCATCAAAATTAAAACAAGGATATGTTGATCCCACTCTATTTCGAAAGAAAGTTGGGAATCATCTCATGCTTGTTCAATTTTATGTTGATGATACAACTTTTGGCTCCACTAATCCTAATTTGTCAAAAGAGTTTGAAAATATGATGAAAAGCCAGTTTGAGATTAGCATGATGGAGAAGATAAATAATTTCCTGGGTTTAAACATTCATGAAAGAAGAGAAGGAATTTTTATCAATCAAGAGAAGTATTCTCGTAATCTGCTTGAGAAGTTTGGCATGATGAACAGTTCGAAACTAAGAGTACCTATGGCTGTTGGCACACGTCTTGGTCCTTCGTTAGACAAGCCAGTTGTCGATCTCACATTGTACAAGAAGATGATTGGTTTGTTACTCTACTTAACTTCTATTAGACCAGATATTATGTTTGCTATGTTCAATTGTGCTAGGTATCAGTCGAATTCCAGACAACCTCATATGGCTACTGTCAGGAACATCTTTCGCTATCTTAAAGGCACAGTTTCATTGGGCTTGTGGTACCCTTCGAAAACATGGTTTTTCATATAGGCATCTCTGATACGGATCTTGGAGGTTGTCATATAGATCGAAAAACCACAAGTGGTGGATGTCAACTTTTGGATGGAAGCTTGTTAGCTGGCAATCAAAGAAACAAACTTGTGTTTCGATTTCCACAGCAAAAGAAAATATGTTACTACTGCAGCTTGCACTTCTCAAAACCATATGGATTCAAAGTCAGCTGTGTGATTATGCAATCAACATGAATAAAAAAAATTTGTATTGTGATTCACAAAGTGCTATATGCATCTGCCATAATCCAATGCAACATTCGAAAACCAAACACATCGCCATTTGCTATCAACTTATTAAAGATCATGTTGAGGATGGCAACATTGAAGTTCATTTTGTAAAGACAACAGATCAACTTTTGGATATCTTTACCAAACCATTGGACGAAAAGACTTTAATAAGGATTTTGTCAGGCTTAGGCATGATTGATGCGAATTCTGTTCCAAATGGGACTTCGTTATAAAGTCACGCGGTGTCGACATATCGCTAAATAATTCAGATGTTACTGTTCACAATTCAGTGGTCGACATGCTTCGCTTTTGACTTTCCTCTGACGGATTCAGACTTTGCTTCGGTACTCAAAGCATAACTTTTATGTCGATGCATCAACTCAATGTGTCAGTACTTTTCACTTCGCATGTCTGATACACCTTTTTTTTTCCTTTAAAAAAAATACCAAAAATAATTTCTTATTTTTATTCTTTTGCTTTCAAGAACAAAAATAACAAAAAGATTTTCTTAATTTTGTTCTGTTCCTTTCAAAAACAAAAATACTAAAAAGATTTTCTTATTTTTGTTCGTTTTTCAAAAACAATACTACCAAAAAGATTTTTTTTTTGTTATTTTCTTTTCAAAAACAAAAGACCAAAAATATTTTTTAGTTGTTTATTGTTCTTGTAGTAAACAAACTTTAGTGTAGCTCGCTATCGAAATGTAAAGGTGGCACTTGCATTTGCAGCTTTAGGGAAAGGTACTATTTCGATACTTTGAACTAGTTAGGTGTCCCTAGAAGCATGTTGTTGCATGTTGTCCCAAGCCTCCTAGACTCAATGTGTTTCGAAGCCTTAATGGATATCTCATCACGAGGATTCCTTCCCAATCAGTCTATTCACATTCGTCAATGAGCTACCTTACTCTTCTCATGTCGAGTTAAGAGTTTCCTGCTTAATCCACATATAGTAGAGGTACATTTAGTTTCTTCAACCAATCTTTTTCACCAAAAAATTCTTTCATTCTCACACACAATGACATATACCAAGAGATCTTTGGTTTGAACCAACCATGATTTAGGTATGTACAAAGTCTGTGTTTATGATCCTGATTCATGAGACCGTGATGATGGTGAAACCCACAATTTCAAAATCATTAAGGAATTGATGACGAACTTCATGTTCAAGATTTTAACAAACCAATTGTTTCAGTACCACATTTCGATATCATATTTTTTCGATATGATAGGTCTTAATAAAATGCTCTAAACCCAAGACATTTTTGCACAACAAGATCCAATGCTTCAATTTTTTTTTGAATACGATTTTACGTCTGAATATTTGTTTGAACTTTAGTTACTTATAAATTTTCCAAATCCTACTTGTGAAGGACTACACTGGTTAAACAAGTAATTTTGTTTATAATTTCTCACACTTATGTTGAGCTGAGATATGTATCAAAATTTTGCCTAGCAACGAAGCCTTGAAAAAGAATCCCTTCGATACTCCTCTATGAGTATTCGATTGTAATTCACGGGAAGCCATCCAAGCTGTTCGACATCTCTCTTGATGTAGAACGAAGCGATCTTTTCCTAGGATCTAGTTGCCTTTATGTCAATTTTTAAATGACATCACATATCTAATTTTTTTTCTTGATCTTATCTCATTCCTTGGAACACATATGCACACACCGAAATCCTTGAGGTTCTGAGTAACAACAACTCAGGTTGATGATTTCGAAAATCTAGCATATGACTTCGCTTCACAACCCAAAAGCAAAAAATCCCAGCCTCCATGCCGAAGGTTCTCTGATAGTTCTTATCCCTAAGGGCACGCGTAAAGACTGTTTGTTGTGACGGTTTGTTTGCTTCATGATTTTCAAGGAAAAGTGCTCATCACTTTTCAGATGTAGCTAGTTTTACGGAAATAGACTTGATTTTCAAATCAATGTGTGGCACGATTTTGATGTATAACCACTTCAAATTCAAACTTGGGGTTTACATATAAAAGGGTTTTGGGTGATCTAATTCCAACTTTACATGATCAAGTGAAATATTTCCTAAATATTATTCTCTTATACGCTTTGTTTTCTGAAATACCTACACACCTTAACAACGGCGGAAAAAACTGTGAACATTGATCCTTCCTAAACCTCTGATGAGGCAACATCACAACCACTTTTGAAGATTCAAAGCACGAATTATAGGGTTCAACCTAATGTTGATGCTTATCCCGATGAATTGAAGATGCTCATCGTTTCCTTGAATCACTCTGTCTTATCTACTGTTATGTCGGCATCTTTCTCAATTCCAATGACGTGGTTATCGCTTGTTGCTTCCACTGATGCGTTTAACTAGACAACCAAGGTGGTTACTTTTAAATTGACCAATGAGAAGAAGTACAGGTTAACCAAGAAGCAGTTTGCCCTAATTTTGAACATTCCTAATGTCGAACCTTTTTGTGAGGTTACAAATGAACAGGTTGTTCATATCTTCCTTCGATGCTTGACAGGTCGAAGTATTGGATTAGATAAAGCAAAACTGGAGGTTTATGCTATAGTCATAGGATTTGTAAGCCTCAAATTAGTCGAAAGGGTGTAACAATTTGTGAGATTCCAATTCCTATTTCTCCAGCCTCTAAGAAAAAAAGAGCTTAAGACAGGGTGAAGAAGATTTAAAAGAAGAAAAAGAAACTTTAATATCCATTGGATTAGGTAGTTATTGAAGTTGATGTTGATGAAAGTGGTAAGTCTTAATCTCCACTTTGACATGATGATACGAGATTTTTATCACCACAGAGGGACTCTCCAATCTAGTCAACTTTCGAGGCGAATGGCAGTCTTGATGGCAATGTGGATACATTTCATGTGGACACAACCATCAATATGGGTGATCATTCGCAATTATCCATCCCTGAGCAAACTTCGGTCATACCATCTGAAGTTTTGCAATCCAAGTCCAATATAGAGGAGGTGTGAACTTCATGCATCACTACGAGCATATCTGATATGGACGAAAATGTCAACAAGGTTATTGGGTGTCGAATACTCAAGCCCAAGGTACTTCGGATTCAATCATCATCTCATCTATCTTCGAAGCCTCTTGTATTTATACGAGTACTTCATTACCACCATTTCATTCACATATTTCTACTTCCTCACCTCAATCCACCATTTCACCTACCTTTCAAAACATTCTCAATCAACCAATCACATCTTTGTTTCCTTTGCAATCAACTGAAGGTCCAACATCTATTCCTGATAATACAAGAAGGATGATGATGTGTGTGTTTCTTTTGTTGATCTTCAGTTTGATCCACAAAATGAGGATATAACATATCATATGCTTATGTATGGTAAGAACTTCAAGACCCTTAACCGCAAACTTAATTTGTTACTCTAGCTTTAGGCTGATGTTGGAAGTCGAAACAATGTCACTGGGCTCGAGGTTGATGTGATGCTCAAGGCTCAAGAAATTCGCCTGAAAACAATGATGGATCAGATAGACAAAAATAACAAACTTCAGGTGAAATTTCAATCCGATTCGGTTAATCATGAAGTCAAGGACTTACGATCTATTGCAAAAAACGTCATATTTTGTTTGTTCAAGCTGTCAATAGGGTTCAAGAGGATGTACACCTAAAGATCGAATAAATTCGACAAGAAATGATGCAAGAGGTTGCGAAGGTTCATCAGAACTATTCTATCCTTCATAATAAGGTAGATATAGTTGCTGATGCAGTAACGAAGCTTGATGAGTATCATACTTCAATGAATTCTAAAGAGTTTGTACATCTACAAGGCTTATTGGAAAAAGTGAAGGAGAAGATTTCCAAACTTGAAATTCCTCCTTCTTCAACAGTTTCTCAAGAGTCTATCTCACAGATGCTTTCCTCATTAGAAACACGTTTGAAGGCTGATTTCGATCGTCTCTTGAAGTATATAAATTTGATGCCCACAGTTGCCCCACCTGTTTCCACAGGGGTGCAAGGGGGAGAAAATGGAGTTGGTGCATCAAATGATACAAAACAAGGGAAAGTTGTTGGTAGAGTTATAAGAAAACAAATTCCTACTACAATTCTTGTATCTACAACAGTCACTTCAACAACCATAACTTCGAAGCCCTTGAAAGGAATTGTCATTGGTTCATCAACTGGTGGGTCAAGTTCTAAGCCACTTCCATCAACAGAAGAATTAAAGGGAAAAGGAAAGGGTGTTTTGATAGAACCAACTTCCGAAGAGAAAAACTTGTCCTTGGAATAGGAAATGGAGAAACCAAGAAAAATTCAGAGTATTCTTTGACAAAGACAGAGTGATCCTCCGGGTCTTGATCAGGGTGATCCATCCAAATATTACAACTACAAAATGATTGAGGCTAATGTTTTCAGTGGAGTTATGCATGAGTTTGCTAAAGTTCCCAAAATGAGCTTTGATATCAAAAACTTAGATTTCAATCTGCTGGACATCCCTATCAACGAAATGATGTTCAATTCTTTGCAATATCAAATTGTTTATAAATTTGAAGACAACGAAGGATTAAAAAGGCTAAAGCTATGATTCCATGCAGTTCTTGGAAAAAGAGAAGAAAAGATTTGGTCTTTGGTGAAGATAATGAAAGTTCTAAATATCTCAAAGGATGTGTGATTCACAAGGGTACTACAAAATTTCAGAATTCATGTTGTCTGAGCCAACAATGTTGCTTTCTATTATTCAGTAGGAGATTTTCCATTGATGAATATCAATGATCTCATTAATGTTGTTAAGATCTTGAAGTATACAGATGTTTCGAAGCTTCAACTAACCAACAAAGAATATTTTCTTCTAGGTTTTGCTCACATTAAGTTGTTCATTAACAATTACTTTGATTTTCATGTAATGACAGATGTGGAGATTGTACTTACTACGGGAAAATAGATCATGGTCCCAGAGTCCTTGTTGAAAGGTGGAAAGAATTTGAAGAATTACGATGATGTTGAAATTTGTTTGAGTCCATTGGGAATTGTTTCTGTTGGGAAGAATAAAAACAATAAAATTACAAAGTTCTTATTCAAAGTTGAAGATGTGTAAAGATATACGAACTTTATGTATATGAATTTACTGGTTCGTATCAATAATTGCAAGAAGAATTCAGAAGGTCATAAAGTGGTGGTTCGTACGATTATTTTATGGTATATGGAAGATCGAAAAGTCTTACATCAAGCTGCTCAGATGCTGATGACTTAGGATTTGACACTTCTTACAAAAGGGGAGAATGTTGGGGTTGAAATAGTTGTAACGTGTCGAAGCGTCCTTTATCTTTTGTTAGTATCAAAGTCAATATTTTTTATTTGCATAAGGGTATATTGTAATGTCGAAGTGTAAATATATAAGCCCTTATGTATTTTTTGTATGTTTTTGTCATCCCTATAAATAGGTGATAGGTACTAGAGTTAGAAAAATTTTGAGCTTTCGCTAGTTTACTCTATATTTTTTGTCTCTTTCAGAAACATAAATTGAGCCATACAGATTCTATTTACTTTCTGTGTTCATATTTCAATCTAAACTCTGATTACATTCAAACATTCAATCAATATCAACTATATATATATATATATATATATATATATATATATATATATATATATATGTGTGTGTGTGTGTATATATATATATATACATGTGTGTGTATAGTAACATATAGTTTAGTCAGATAACTCACCTGAACTGAAAGATGACGAATCAGAGCTTCACCCACGAACTCGCAAAAAATATCGGTCTCATGAACCACCTAGACAATCTGAGGTCATGTAATATCCCAAAAATAGTGGTAAAAATTTTTATTTTTAAAACCATATAATAATCCATAAGTTATACAAAACATGGCTCCAACAACCATAGTCATAAATCAGAGTATCCCAAAATCATTTTAGTAACAGAATATCCAAGGATGTTGTGCACAATCATGCCTTCGCCTATCAGCTAAAGTACCTGAAACCATAAAATCAAACTCTAAGATGAACCTTAGTGACTTTCCCCAGAAATATCACACACAACCAAACAAACATCATATATATAGGATCTTTCAGCCTGAATGGACCGCCTTGTAGGGCCTATAGCCTATCTGGACCGCTTTGTGAGCCTATGGCCTGACTGGACTGTCTCATAATGTCTATAGTCTATCCGGTCGACCCCATGTATCTTGGCCTACAACACAAAGCAGGACCACCTCAACCCAACCATCACAATATGTCAACATATACACATAATCAAATAACAAATAATAACCAGCAAGGAGGTAATCATACAGACCTACCGACTATCCAATCTCTATAGCATACCACATTCTACATACCAAGATAGATACAAAATCAAGAGTCTTGGCATTGGTGCCATCAAACCCCCGAGTACAGTGAAGAAGAACTCACCTCAATCAGATGTCATAGAAAACACGAACTAGTGTTACTAACTCTCAAATTCCTCACAGTATCAATTCACCAAAATCCTTAAGTCAAAACCAAGGTAAAAACCTCAAACGGACAAGTCCTAAGACGATGACTAACCCCTATAAGGGCAAAAGACCATTTTTTCCTTCCCAGGACCTACCCTAACAGCTGACCAAATGTCAACGGTCAAACCTAAGCTGACCTACGCTCTGCGTACTCTAGCTCTACGCATGGCGTATAGCCTTATCTAGAAAATGGGACTCCACTAGTCTATCTTGGGCATAGCCTAGATTGCGTGCTGCGTAATTCCATAGGTTCCAAAATTCTCATTAAGCACTTATTTCCTTAAGATCTTTCACTTAATACTCATATCTAACCCTAATGAGCATCGTAAATCATAAATTCTCCAAAGTTATCCCTTTGCATGGCTAAAGACAGTTTATATCAAAAACCCTACCTTATTACATAATCACAAGCTGCAAATATCATGCATGGATTGAAGGGAGGGACCAAGATTTCATTTTTGATGATTCCAAGCACACAAAAATGTCTAAAAAGGCCACTCATAGGGCCTGGAGTTTCTCATACCCAATTAGACAAAGAATATGGGACAAAAGGACGTAAATCTAAGGACTCACAAGATCTAATCAAACATTCATCAAGTTCTAAACATTATACCTCTTGTAGAATATTTATGAGATGAAATTTCTAGATGCACAAGGCATAATGCTTCCTAAGTGCTCTCCAATGCAATCCTTCATTCAAAGATGAACACCAAACACTTAAAAAGTTCAAAACTCACAAATAGAGATAAGGGTTTGCAAGGAAGTCGATTGAGAGGATGGAGGGTGAGAATCGAAGGGTTTAATGAAAGTTTAATTCCTTAAATAGAGCTCAAAACCCCAAAATTAGGGTTTGGGCTTTTGTCGAGTATGCCCTGCGTGTTAAGATCTACGCCATGCATAGATCATTAAAGTCTCATCTCCAAGTTTCTTCTACACAGAGTGTAGATGGCTATCTACGTCCTATTTAGATAAAAATTCGACATTTAAACTTAAAAAAATAGAGAAAAGAATTTACCTACAAGGACGGGGTGTTACAATTCAAACCTCAGTCTATAGCGTAAAACCCTCCAAGTTTAACCAAAAGTAAAAATGGTTAAAAGTCAACTATTAACACATGAAAAGTCACCAGTCAATAGTCAACGTGCCGCGACCTTGATAATGGTCTCTTCTCAAGCACAACGTGACAAAACAATCACAAATTCCATCGAAACTTTGTGTTGTGATCCCTTAATGGGCACGTGACAATTTCCAGTTTGGTGCAGTTATTACAATAAGTTCTTAGACCTTTCAAACATATGTTCCAACTTTAAGATCTGAATCTTACAAGGTACTTAACGGATAATGTTTACAATTTTATCCAGACCTATAACCCAATCAATCTCAAACTCAAACCCCAACTCATATTTGGCATAAAATGGTAATGAATTTGTGCATGGATCAAAAGCAAACCCATACACACACATTTTTCTACTCGAATGTGACCAAAAGACCAGTCAAATCCATACTAAGGTTCTAGAGTTGCTCACATTCCAATAACCTTAAGTCCAAATAACCAAAAAGTACCAAAATCCCACTCAATCCCTAGATATATGCTTGAAACCAAATAAAGCAAAGATCTTTATGACTTACTAAGCTTTTGAATGGTCTACAAGGTGGAATATTCAGCTAGAAATCACTACTCCAAGCATCACAAGCTTTCTTCTTCTTTAAAAACCACATAAACACATCAAGAATCTCTTAAAGGAACAAAGGGAAACTAGGGCTATGTTATGGAGATGGAGGATGGTGCTAGGAGAGAACCTAAAAGTTAGCACCCTTAAATAGAGCCCAAAGCCCGAGATATGGGGTTTTGGGTTGTGATATCTTCGCGTTGTGACCCTTTAAAGTTTGCGTCGTGTGACAAAGCTCTCTCGAATCAATACCAAGATCTATCATAAGATTCCAACACCAGATAAACCCATTCCAAGGACCCTTATGTGAAACCAAATGAGTTAAGCATGAGCATCTACCATTAGGATCATATAGGTATTTTATGACCCTAACCCACAACATATCCAAACTATGAAAAAACTCAAATCTTTATTTAAAAAGCACAACTCTATTAAAGGAGAACAATATACCAATACTCAAACCCACTTTCCCTTACTTTCCAACATGATCACCCACCCGACTTAATGTATCTTCCTATCTCCAAGATCAACACCCCAGAATAAGCGAGCATGTATAGACTCCAAAGCACGCAAAACTAAAAAAGAAACCAGAAACATGGACATATAAATTGTAAAACATACCAATGATCCCAAGAAATAACTTTAGAAAATTTAGATTACCAATAATAGAAAAGGTCTTAATTTTCCAAGTCAACGGCTTCTCTTTGAAAGGATCCAAGACTAAGGACCAATGTCCCACCCTATCCATATTCTGGCCAACCGGAATACCCAAATACATAAAAGATACATGAGTAGCAGCACACCAAAGAGAACCCACAACATCCTCAAATTGATGGAAAGGGACCCCAAAACTGATCTATCTACTTTTCAGTAAATTGATCTTATGACAAAAGGATAGATAAAACACCTAAGTACACGTAAAATCCTTTTCACATTCTCCATATCCTAATCGTACATCAAAATCGTATCATCTACACATATAAAATTAGAGATATCCACCTCAATCCTCCCTAACATAATACCCATGAACACCCTTGCTAACCGAGCATGAACCAAGGCCACATGTGGACCTTCCAGAACGATAACAAAGAAGAACATAGATAGAT